CTTGTCAGGTTAGTGAAGTGCACAGGCAATATCGTACACTTGCGCGTTTGTGCTGAGACTGCAGATAACAGACCCTGGTGAACAATACATTAAGTTGTCTGTGTATAGTTCAGTAACTGAGGTAAAACGTTCAAATTTGTGTTCATAATATAAGCGCGCAGCAGCAGATGTGAGGTCACTGAACTAGCGTTATATTTGAGTCTCTTGAGAGCCATTTCAGATTAAAGCTAGAGGTCTCCTCCATTAAACATGCAAGCATGAAAGCCGCCTCTCTGTTGTGTTACCACTTTTAAATCTCAGCCTCGGACAGAAAAACTGCTTTGCCCCGTTTTCGTAAAATGATGCGTTTCTTTGAACAAACTTAGTCATCTTTTTTTTTTCTTCTGCAGTGATTATTTTCTCTGTGTAAAAACATAACAGATGTAGGTGTTAATTAGGTCAGAGAACCCCTTATGTTCATCAAATCAAAGTTCAATACCATCTATTATATTATTAAATATAGCCTAAGGTCATGTTCTGTCAAAATGTTTTCACTGTCATAAACAATTTCATGCCATTTTAGAGTACTGCAAAAAAGATGGGTGGGGGAACATATTACATTAATTCTTCTACAGTGAAAATATGAATCACCAGCTGAATCGTGCATTTTTCCAACATGCATTTTTTTTTTTTTTTTTTTTTGGATGAGTAATCACAATCTCTCCTTTATATGTGTCATAAATCATTAGTTGCGCCTCAAATCTAATTTTAAAAACATTAGTCCCAACTGTCCAATTTATTTTCTTAAAGCCGGCACAAATAAATCATAAAGTAAAATGCAGTTAATAATTTAGTAATTATTTAGTTAGTAATTTGTAGATTTAGTTAGTAATTTGTAGATTTTAAACACAAACAGGAAGATCTAGCTATTTTCCACATTTCCTTAAAACACAAATAAGTCACTTTCAACGTATATTTATAACACTAATTTGAAACTTAATAATAAAAAAAGAAAACGAATTACCTATTTACGTAGTAATATCCAGAGATAACGTGTTTCCGTCTTCCTGCTTCACTCAATAACACAAACATTTTTTTTTTTAAAGAACAACGTTATGTCCATGCCTACCACGATAAATTGTAAATATATCCACTCATATATCCGTTCTCAAACATCTTCGCAAATGTTACAGTATCGCTTTATAACGTTAAAAGCATAAATAACATTTAAAGTAGGCCTAATAAATCTTTGTAATATGGCTATATTTCTGGAGATGGCATTGTCTCCACAGCGCCCGGTGTTCTGCAACCTATTAGCATCATTTCGTCCATCGAGTTCCATTAATTACATTTGAATGAAAACTTGCGCGGAAGAATGAGATTTTGGAGAGGCCTGCCAGATACTTGCTCCTCTTGGGAGGACCTTTCACCTTCTTAACGGTGGGTATGCAGTACTTAAAGGCAGCTTTTACTACAACTGGGAAGCTGGGACGTGCACCTGCCTGCTTGTAGTACAAAATGGTCGACATCAGCGAAATGGTAATTGCTTTAGATTCTTAGATTACTGTATGCTAATTAAAGGGCGACTTAAAAAGCCTGAAAATAACCATCTTTTATTTAAAAAATATTATACATGTTAAAATGTCTTTACTTTAATTGCACTGTGTGTCTGCGCATTGCATATGTCTTAGATGTAAGATCTAACTTAAGCTAGACAATAATATCATCCATTACCTGATTATTGTGATATCATTTTTATTCGTAATAATAAAAGACTACTTCAATCTTGCTTTAGACTTAGACAAGACAAAGTGATAGCTGTGATATAAAGGATTATACAGATATAGCCTGTGAGTTTTTTTTGACGGCTGGTTTGACGGCACTTATGCAACGACTTGTGAATATTTAAATAAAACTGTAAAACTGAGCAAATAAATAATCTCTCTGAAGCATATAAATGTTCATATTTTAATAAGTTGTTTAAACATAAAATAATAGACAATTTTTGTAAAAACACACGTATTACTAGTTCATTTTGTGGCCAAATGAGAACTTTTTTACGCAGTAGTTACCATGAAATTAAAAATACTAACATGATGTAGATGTAAACTGCTCCAATGTTAATTAATATATTACTAAACTGTAAACGCCTTATGTAGGCTAACATGTTGCTAACAGTTTTAGCAAGCTGTCTGAAAATGGCAGGCCTCGTTACACCTTACGTTTTCGTTGGCGGTGAAGGTTAAATCTTACATAGGCCTATAAAAAAAAATAACAAACAAAAAAAAACATGTAGAAACAACATTGCTGTTATTTGATTACGGATTTTTGAATCATCTTTGAGTCGTCATGAGCAACATTAACAGCGTTTTTAACCATTGACATGCATCTGAACAGTTTCAGATATAAAACCGCAAATATCGCTATTTTTCCCGGTTATTTTTGCGTCAGAGGAAGTAGACGAATTTAACTCGTCCTTCCTTGTTTAAGCTGTAATTAGGGTAATAAAAATATTGATACGTTGATCTGAAGTAACATAATTGTACTCTAAATTGATTAAACAAATAGTAGCGCGCTCTTGATGCTATCATGATTCCATGTAGGCCTATCTTGAAACAAAATGAAGAATTACCTCGGAAGAAAACTATGACACGGACAAAAACAGAATTGTAATTAAAACAAATATTGTAACTTGATATCTGATGTCTTGCTTTCTATGTTTATGTATGCAGGGGACTTGAAATACTGACTGACCTGCGCGTGCGCCTTGTTGACCAGAAATAGCCTATTCTTTGTAACGCAGCAGCTGGACATATTGGCTACAGTTTGTTCGTAAAGTGACGTTTTAAAGTCTTCAAAACATATTTGAGGTGTTTAATATAGCATTTCAAGTGGTGCGTTATTTATGATGCCATTAAATTGTATACCGTACACTATATTACCACCCCGCAAAGGACACATTAACTTATTTTGGACACTTTGTTCCACAGTCGGATCTCTGAGATAATGGGTCAGGACCTCAGCTCTTACTCCAGGCTCTCTTTCCCCTGGCTGACCCTTGATCCATCAAGCACCCAGTGCACACATGTGTTTGCCCATTCACTCCGAGGCTTAAATATATGCTCTGCTTTAAATGAGAATGGTTGTTCAAGAAAGGCAACGAACTGCAAGGTGTAAACCAAACGAAAATGAAAATAAACCGCAGAAAAAAATAATTACGTTCACAGGAATACTCCACGCCATGTCTTTTATTTCGATGGCAAACCAATTACCAACAGCTCTTGTCACGCATTAAAGGAAAAGAAGGGTCATAGGTGACAGCTACCTCAATGTCAAACAGAAACAAAACTGCACATATACGTCTTAGGAATTCTCGAAATACAATTTCCACATGCACACACATATACGCGCTTAGAAACTCCAAATCAGTTTGACTAATCAATAAAATAATTTCGTTTCAGTCAAAGTGCATTCAAACAAATCAAAGCACGGTAATAGTCGATTTATTTCACAACGTTTGAGAGCAAGTTTTCCGCACATTCACCGATAAATGCATCTGAACGGGAAACGATGTTATTAAAATAAAAAGACACGCGTCAGAATAAACACAATGAATGTAAAAGTATAGGCTATGCAAATGTATATTAAAATCTACCTCAAAAGCAATACGCATTTCATTTTTCGGTTTCAGACTAGGTTCATCAGCCAATTTAGATTCTTCGAATTTTTTTATGTTATGTTATGTTATTATTTTTCTTTTTCTTTTTTACATTACACCCACCCACATATCGCACACACTGCATTTATAAAACATATTACATCAGACAAGTTCCGCGCGTTCCTTACAATGATTAAAACAGAACTATCTAGGCTAAACTCAAAACGGGAAATAATTTCACACGGCAACCTGTTTCGGTACCTGAGCAAATGTTGTCCAGTATATCCCAGTCCTATTTCTGATGATAGATTTTGCATTTGTTCCTTCCCCATTGAAGTATAACCTACAAACAAAATATCTTAGTGTTTTGTTTTTCTTGGGTTACTTGGTATACTTGGAATGCTAAGCGGTCACCCGTCCAGTGGTTTCTCCAGCATCAGAGTGAGGCGGTTGCTTGGCCCTCGGTCATGCTCTCTGCCTTAATATTCCACAAGGTTGAGTGGCCCTCATTTACCTAATGGATCAGGCGCACAAAAACCTTAGACCAGTTTCTCGCTCTGTGAGTCACAAGCCAAAGTTTATGTGACGCTTCGACCTGGTTGGTCTCCGAATAAACCCAAATTTAAACATACCGACAAGTAAACACCTTTAAATGTGATTTACTGAACGTTAAGTAGTCAGAAGAGAATGCTGAATGTTGGTGTTTGTTTTGCGTTGTAAGTTTACAAAATGTGCAATGTTACTAAACCCCGAAAGTTGCTGTTAATGAAATGGCTCCTTACTTGTAGTATATAACATATGTGTGAAAGCAGCATTCACCCACGTGGTCAGATTATTAGACAGAGGTGTGTTCAATATGACTGATGGATACAGGCTTGCTTCTTGTTTCTAAACTTGTAACATCACAAGCGTACAAGCTTTGGTTTTCTTACGCACTTAAATTGAGAGCCTTATTTTAACATTTAAATGAATTTATAATAGGCTATATGCCAAAATTAGGTCAGGCAGAACATGTTAGACCTGCTCACATTCGTGAGGTTATTGACCCAGAATGAATTAGCCTATATCGATTTGAAATAAGCAGGTAAAATGAACCTATCGTTTTTATACTGAGATTATAACGGCTTTATGCAGGAAAAAATACGGTGTTTTTTTTTTTATAAATCGTGAATCGTATAAATGTATAAAACTTAAAGATTTAAAACTTGATATATATATATATATATATATATATATATATATATATATATATATATATATAACAATTAGACATCCTTCATAAGCTTAAATATGATTAAGACACGTTTCCTTGTACAGGTCCTTGTAGTTTTATATAGTAATACAAACTGGCGTTTGGTTAAAAACAATGTTGTACTTTAATGTGGATTTTATGAGAACACATTTTTACTATGATCTAATTTGGGAGAGACCCTCACCGCTGGCACAAAATGATGCTTAAGACGTATAAATTAGGTCATAGACTGGAGGGGGTCTTCATTGTGCCACTCTGACAGAGCGCACTGCGCTTATGACTCTCGGAGGGCTCTCAAAGTTGGAAAAAGTATGGAATTCCCTATTGACGCAGACTAACAGTGCCTAAAAAAGAAGAAAAAGAAGAATTAGACTTCAGACAAACATCGGTCCAATTCAGGACGAATATGCTTTTTTAGGGACTCGTGTATTTTACGACAAAATATTTTTGAGAAATATGACTATTGAAAATGTTCAGTCGGCATAATGATAAATGTAATGTGAAACTAACAACATTTTTTTTCTCAATTATCTTGCTGAGATGTCAATGACTATTGTTTGCTGGTCTAGGGAGTCGCTCCGCCCCTCATGTTTGTCGTAAATCTGGCGCCTGGCTACAATAAACCTGAGATAAGAGTGGCCAGGGCTCGCCTCCTTCTCCAAGGCGATCAATCGGATCTCAGGCATACTACAAGCACTCTCTTACGTCGACGTCCACGAGAACAGAGCTGATACAACAACACGGCTGAGCTCCACCACCAAAAAATCTATCTGCTTTCTGAACCATGTCGCTGAGCCCAAAGCACACGACACCTTTTTCAGTGACAGATATTTTGAGCCCAATTGAGGAGACTTACAAGAAGTTTAGTGGCATGGAGAGCACTGGAAACCTCACATCTCCTTTGGGAGCGTACCGGCAACCTCAGGTGTCCCAGACTGGCATGCAGCAACACTCTATGGGCCACAACGCCACCACTATGGCGACCACCTACCATATGCCACACTCCGTTTCCCAGTTCTCGCATAGTGCAATGGGGGGCTACTGCAATGGCAGTATTGCCAACATGGGGGACCTACCCTCTTACCAAGAGACTATGAGAAACAGCGCAGCAGCAACAGGGTGGTACGGCGCCAACCCCGACCCTAGATACTCAACAAGTAAGTTATGATGCATTATTTTGAGATGTACGCTTATTTACTGAGTTTCCGGCGAGTTTGCCTTATTTTTTCGCATCAGTAAAATTGCCTGCAAAGTGCGCATTATATTGTCGCCTCTTCGCTGATTTGTAGATTCCTGCCGATGTTTATTATAATTCACACATTTCTATTCACTAATTTGTGCGCACTGTAAAGCGTGTTTGACATTTTACATACTCTTCAGAATAAGTTATACAAGATTCAACTAATTTTAAAGTCAGCGAAATTTTATTTGCGTTAAAATGACTTAAATATCCAAGTTCATTGTCCTTAAAAAATGCAAAGCAGCAACCTTTTAATGCTACATTTTTTGTAATGATTAAAAATGTAGCCCAACACTGCTACTAATTGAATGGACGTACATCTGTATGCATATTTTGAAGTTTCTAGATTCATGGGACCTTCCACAGGTATGAACATGGCAGGAATGGGCACGCTAGGCATGGCCGACACCACCAAATCCATCCCACCTCTGCACGCAGCCCCAAGGAGGAAACGACGGGTGCTCTTCTCTCAAGCACAAGTCTACGAGCTGGAAAGGAGATTTAAGCAACAGAAATATCTTTCAGCGCCCGAAAGGGAACACCTGGCTAGTATGATACATCTAACCCCAACGCAGGTCAAGATCTGGTTTCAGAATCATCGTTACAAGATGAAACGACAGGCCAAGGACAAGGCAGCACAGCAGCTTCAACAAGAGGGCAACCTGTGTCAACAGCAGCAGTCGCCGAGGAGAGTGGCTGTCCCTGTCCTAGTGAAGGATGGCAAGCCTTGCCAGAACGGCTCCAACACACCGACGCCAAACCAACAGCAAATGCAGCAGCAGCAAAACGGTTCCGGGGTCGTGCTTGCTACCTCGAGTAATTCTATGAACCAACACCAAACCCAGCAGGTCAACGCAATGGTTCAGGCCCAAGACCTGGAGGAAATGTCTCCCAGTCCCCCGTCACTTCACTCGCAGATGAACAATATGGGACAGATAGACACTTCTGTAGATTACACGAATAACATGGTCACGTCAAACCTGCTTTATGGCAGAACGTGGTAAGACCGACCACCTTTTCTTTTCATCTTTTTCCACAAACTTTAGCGCCCTCTGAATTCAGAACTGAGGCGCGTGAGGCCGGAGCAGACCGAGCATCCGCGTGACGATTTAAAGCGGGTGATCGGATCAGAGGAGCACGTTTTGGGTGGAAATTTACCACTTTTTTTTTTTTTTTTTTCTAAAAACAGACTTGTGGTCACAATTTTATACAATGACCCTTCTACTCAGTATGAACAAAATAACAATTTCTTGTCTCACGCTGTATGTTTTTGGACTTTTGTTGTTCTAGTAGAAGGTTGTCAGTTGTTAAACTAAATTGCTGCTCCACACATCTATGGCAATGCCAGGACACGGGAAGCAATGTTTCATATTTCAGGTATGAACTCCTAGCAAGACCTGGAAAAGTTCCCAGATCTTAATAAATGCCTGAACGTGCAACTGAAGCACCTGTTGTAAAAACTAATGTATTCATTTAGAGAAATGAAAAGTAGGGACTGTATATTATTTGGCTAACACTTAAGTTTCTTTTTACCTGTAATATAAATGTTTGAGGTTTTTTTTCGTTGGTCATTTATTCTATTCTTTTTTTTTTCTTTTTTTCTTTTTGGTAAATTAAAACAAAGACACAAAGACGATGGCTGCTGTATATGTTTCAAACCAATTGAACGTTAACAATAAATCAATTAAAATGCACGCCATTGGTTGGGAATTAATGTGTGTAGAGTATAATCTCTGTGAAGAGCGTTTTCATTAAATTAGTATTTGAAAATAATTTTAATTAAAAAAAAAAGTCTATGGTAGGAAACTTTTCACTGATTTTGAAGGGAAGAAACCTATGCAATATTTAAATACAAACAAAATCAAAGTCTACTCTTTACTATTAAATTTGCGTCCATAACTATTGCTTGAATTTATTACAGTCGCCTCTCATAATTTAAGTTGAAACCTGACACAAAAATTTATAATAATGATGATTGGTAATTAAGCCAATAATAGCGAATAACACCGAACCAACATACATAGAGTACCATGTGACATCCATTTCAAATTTTAGGTTCTATAATTTATATTAAGGAGAAGAGAGAACGACATTTTTGGTCATCTGTTTATTTATTTTATTTAACCTGTGTGAAATTTGAGTGGCTTTTCTGCATCACATGTCTACTATGTTCTATTTAAAACACGAAAATAAAACTGCATACACATAAGTGTAGAATTCTATATCATGCATGTTGTTGTATACTATTTCAATGCACACATTAATGAAAGGGCAAGAGTTTACTTTAGCAAAAAAAAAAAAAAAAAAAAAAAAAAACTGTTTCATTTTGGAATAAGCTCAAATTTTCAATAGTTTTGTTCTTTCCTATAGGCTATCCGAATTCCTTTTTTAAACATTCAATACCGCGGAGTTCAATCATAGATTGACAGTAAGAGTTAATACAAATATAAGCTGCAATTGTTAAGCACGATTTACAATTTTACAAAAAAAAAAAAAAAAAAAAAAATGCGATACAGTGAGAAAAACACATATAATTTATATCTAGCCTAAATATAAATATAAAAATTAGAAGGCGAGTTTAATATCGGACAATGATAAGGGCACGTCACATAAAATAACAAATTACATAAGAATAAATTAAAATAAGAAACTGGTGATTCTTAAATATAAGTTTGTTCTTTTTTTTCCACCAGAAAGTGCTACAAGTGTTCCAAAGTTATGTAAAGTGATTCAAAGACAAGACGGAAATTCGAAACGAAACTTTTTTTAACGTTTTTATTTTACTATTTAATATTCTTTTATATGGAGTCAGTTCGTTCGTAATGCCAATGGAACATTTCGAAAAGCATTTCAAAGCAATGCCAGTGGAAATCAATGATACTGAAATTACACAGATTGAATGAAATGTGAACGATGTCCTGTTCAAATCTGTTGTTCAAATGGTGTAAGAGAGAACAGAAAACTTGTCAACAGTTAAGACACCAATCCATATTGTTTTTCACAAGTAAAAATACCTTCCACATGGATACTGGTCTGAAATGAGGGAAAAAATAAAGACATTTGGTGACCATCATAAGATGGCTATGACCTGATAGTGGTTACATTAGCCAAACATGATTTGATTATGACACTATTTTACTTGGAATTTGGAAGATCGAGTGCATCTGCAAATGGCATCCAAATATGGTGTTAGAGTCGGGATTTACATGATAGACTTGATATTGATCAACCTAATCTCTGCCAGTGTCTAATGCTGAGAAGTGAGGAGCTCTCATTATAACACCAGAGAGCTTTTGGTTTCAATATTTTGATTAGTATGAAACAACATTTCGTGTCCATGGTTGAAGGTTTTATGAAAAAGATATATATATAAAATGCAAAAACATTTGTAAACTTGACTAATAATAAGAAGTACAATGTTATAATATAGATCTACTAACAATAGAAGAAAAAAATGCTGAACAAATGCATCAGTTCATTTATATATGGGGTAGTTTTTGTTTTAGATCACAATTGCAAAAAAAAAAAAAAAAAAAAAAAGATGCAAGCTCTGCTGAATATCTTTCTTTTGTCATAACATAGCTTGCAAAAGCTTTTTGAAAGTTGGAAAATATACTTTTCAATATCTATTCAGTGCCTGGAAAACACAACAGAGATTCAAAGAGATTTTAGTATTGCTTTTCTCAATCCTGCCATAGATTTGTTGGAGCTCCATTCTTCCCCACTAATTGCAGGATCTTAACAATTTCTTACCACTGAGTAATTTGAATCCAGCCCGAGGACCTTGTCTGTATTTTCCCTGGCCATTATTCTACTTAATATGTCAGAACGTCTGATCGCAGAGAAACCTTTTCAAGTTCTATTGATGTGTCTTTCAATTGACCATGGTGACCTAGCAACCTGGACAGCACTAATTGGCATAGGCAGCCTGACGTCACTATTACAGTTTATGTGGGAACAAATATGTCCTGGAGCAGATTACAAAAGTATACGAGCAAATATTTTGGACAATTTATTTTTAATGTAAAGACACGGTTCAATTATGGTTCTCTCTCTCTCTCTCTCTTTAGATATATAAACATCAACATAAAGCTACATACTACGTTTTTAAACATGCATATATTCATATTTTCTAAATCTTAATTTACTAAAAACATGATATTTTTTGAAGCAGTGAAGCACACTTCCATACTTCAGAAATTGTATGTGTGTGATGCCCTACCCCCACTTTGACACACACACACACACACACACACACTTCTGTCTCTGTTGCGTGTTTCCAAACAAAAGTAGACACTTATGTGGAGCTTTGTGAATAGTTTACGTCATTACATGGAAAAGATGATGGAATAAACCTTTATGCATTTGATTTTCTAAGTGAGAATTTGTATTCAAATGCCTGTTTGTTGCAGTCAAGGTGGTGAAATGCATTCTTTGGATAAATGCAGAACACTTTCCTAAACCTCACTGAATCATTGTTAGTCAGGAGAGGAGAGAGTTTTCTGCTGTCAACCTGTCACGTACTATAGTAGAGGGTTGTTTAGTCTCGGCAGGGTGAGTTGAGGCATTTTCATGCGAGCGTAAGAAACCATTCGCTTTTTACTATCAAAGCAGACTGTGTCCTGGAAAATGCAAACCGTCCTAATACGAGCCATTTCAAACTGGAGGAAAATAGTGGGCAAATAGACATGCTCCAACACAATGAAAAATATTTCAAGGAGGTCAAGGGACTCGGAAAGCAATTCTCTCTCTAATGGGTTTCCATAGAATTAAACAAATGATAGCGAATTTTGCCATTGTCTCTGTATAAACATATACGATTGATCTGTATGTACATACAGCAAGAAAATTGTCCCATTCTCTGTCCTGAAATGTTCAAATCCACACTGCTTGCTATGAATAACATTCCACCAACATTGTGCAGGCAATCCGCCCCGCTCAATTCTGTTTCGTTTCACGACGCGAGAGAAGGGAAAGCAAATTAGAAAGAGAGAGAAAGTTGTATCCCTTATTATCAAACCATGTCACATTCCCTCCAATGCCTGTCTGTGCAGCTCTGGCCGGTCAGTAATCCCTCTTCCAAGTTCCCTATGCATCTTATTCAGGCTGCTTATAAGTTGTTAAAGAAACTGTTTTCAATCACCACTAATAACTACTGACCTGGAGTGACACAGAGCCACAATAGCCCACCGAAGCCTGTGCAGTCCGACCAAAGAAGGTGATTAGTACTTCAAGAGGTCTAAAGCAAGAATCAATGGCCGGTCTGTCTCTCGCTGCCAGTCTCAGCACCGCTGTCATTATGGCTGTATAACATTAGTTATGCCTCATTAATTTCAGCAAACACCACTCCAGAGAAATTTGTTTACCTTTAGACATCTAATATATGTGATATTATAGACCTTATTGGAATTGGATGGTTTCAAGATCTTGGCAGAGGACCCAAACTGGGCAGCAGGAAGGTAAAGAAGACTACGGGTTTGTGTGAACGTGAAGGTTAAAAGGAAGCAAACATTATTTGATGTCTCCTGAGTGATTATTATGTGACCTTATAAAGGGTTTGGTAACACTTTAGCTTAGCAATTCTCACTATTAGCTACTACTTTGTCTCAGTAAAATCCTACACTGATTATAGTTGTCAACTTTAGGTATTGGAAGGACTCGAATATGGCCATGCAGAATAAAGTGCTGATAAAAAGCCAATATTTTAGTCATATGCAACTAGTTCTAGGGTGGCATCTTTGGTCCTGGAGAGTTTCGCTGCAACCCTGAGAAAAACTCACCTGTCTGAATTATTATATTTGTTTAAAGGGTTTAAATAATGAAAATGTTCTTGCTAACCTTTTAATGACTCAATCAATGAATTCTACCTGAAATCCAGTCTGTTCTTCGCCCTATGTCACTTTTTAATGTATATGCTAAACCATTAATGAAATGTTTTATCATTAATCCACATCTGATCTTTCTTTAGCATGAGCTCTGAATGAGACAATTGTGAAAATTTGTATGCCTTGATGAAAATGCTTCAGATGACAATGGGATTCTCAAGAGCCGAGAGTATCTGATTTGTATTCGGCCCCTAAAATTCAAATCAGGGTTGAATGGGCCACATTGTGAAGTGCTGAAGTATTCTAGGTCCCCGCAAGACTCTTACAATGCTACACTTTCTAACTAGCACACAGCTTCTTTCCAATCCGCAGTTGCCAAGGCGATGGCCAGCTGCGAGACTGGGTCTTGTTTGTTTATAAGGGCAGGGGTGGATGGTGGTTCAAATGGAGGCAGGCAATAGCATGAATTGTTTGGGTGCAACCACTTCAGAAGTGTGAAAACGAAGATTGGTGTTGCATATGTTTATGTCCTGCTCTATTATGTATATAACTCTGCTGGATGGATGTAACCTGTAAACATGTTCGCGCTTATTCGTACCTGAGAACATATAATTAAGCTCTGATGGCAATTTGTAACTATTTTACAACTTGACGAATTGATGGCTAATTTGTATGATCTCATTGGTACGCACCAGTGACGGTTATGTTTAGGGGTAGACTTTTTTCTAACAATCCTTCAGTTTTGTAGTAATCAAATGATACAAATGCATACAAAATTGCCACCTTGTAAAAATAGTTATGTGAAGAGTTCAGATGCAAAAGCCTCTAAATGCCATTTGAAATTTTCTTCTTTAATGATGATTTTCATC